GGCTAGGGAGGACATTGGAAAGGAATGAAGAAGAAGAAGAAAAAAGAAAAGAGCCAACATTGAAGGGAAGGGAAGGCGACCGTCGTCATTCCTCCACTCCGCTAGTGTATTGCTGCCTCTAACCTTCTGTTTTCAGCTCCCGTCTTGGCCAGGCCCCTCTTTCGTCCACTTCCGCGTCTTTCCCCGAAGACCCCATGCTTCTGTCACGTAATGTACTTCGATATCAGCTGAATGGCCGGTCCAAACCATACTTTTTTCCTTTCTTTTTCCTTCCCGAGCTCGGATGGGCCGCTGCTTTAAATCAGGCCGACCCATCATCTTTACATGGGCACCCCTAAGACATTGATTGGCGCTTCCCCGGTGCCCAGCTTTTAGCTGCTCTCAAAACATATGTACAAAGTAGTGATACACAGGCCCATTGCACTTGTCGGACATCAGCGATGACGAAAGGGGTCGTCCTGCAGAAGCAGGCTGCGCAGATGCAGAGACGACAGAAGGCTCTCGCATGTCTAATTGCCACCTCCAAGTACATGGAGAGCCTGGGACAGAAACCAAATGTGGAAGAGGACGTAGCTAAACACGGTAAACCTAAGCGCCGCACATGGGGCCTCGGCGATGTAAAACACACACACGCATAACAAAAGATCAAATCGAGCTTTTTTTCCTCTTTTTTTCTTTTTCCTTTTGGGGGCGGGAGGGGTTTGGAGCGTGGGTTTTGCTACTAGTTTCCTTTTTCTTTCTTCTGTTCTGCCGTTCTTCTTTCTTCTCTTATCCCAAGTACAAGTCATAGAATCTTGCTTCTTTGTCGCAAATGTGCAGCCCACCGAAGGCTCCCGGGATGCAACATCGGTCAATTTGCTGATGCCGTGCCCGAGCGGACTCCTCCCGCCCGCAGCTCTCCAAAGCTACATGTAGCTAATAGAAGCCCGTCTCCGCTGAGAAAGTATGTTGAGCGAAGACGAAAAGCAATAGGGGCGAGCCTGTCGGTGACGGTCTCGCGAAGGACGCGAAATTTATTACAGCAGAGACACAGACGCGTTACCAAGATGGAAGGCAAAGAGATCCAATAGTCGCGACTAAAAATAAACTCGAGTCTCATACCTTGCTTGTTACATGACTTAGATGGACCTTCGAGAGGTTAAAGACTGGCGGAACTGCGCCCGGGTATCATCAAGCCGGGGTTTGACAGGAATACATCCATGGAATTCCTTTTTCTAATGCGTTGATGAGTGCGTGGCACGGCATCATTTGATCTTAGCTCGGTCTTTTATACCATCAGATCAATTTTGTTGTCCTCATCAACCTCATGCCGATTCTCCCTCTGCCGTGTCATCGTGCACTCTCTTCATGTTGTGTGCAGGGTCTTCGTCTTGTTTATGGGCAGATGCATTGGGAGAACCGCCCTCTTTGCGTCCAACATTTGATGTAGGGTGATTTGAGAGACCAACGGAACCGCGACAGAACCTGCACGTCGTCTGGTAGAACTCAGCACAGCTATCCCTCAAGGAAAGCCTGGCGTTGGCAGCAGCACAGTTGGGGCCACAAGGGCATGGCTCCAATGGCCACAGCAGCCTCAACGCCAATCACGCACCACCTCAACTTCGTAGCCACTGGCCGGACACCCACGTCGGGCTGGTCCTTGCCGAGAAACGCCTTTCCAATATCTCATGTATTGATGAATATTTTCAATCTCATTCCTCTTTACTTCCTTTTTCCCCCAGCCTTCTCTCCTCTTCACTAACACATTTGACAAAATATTCCACGATGACAAAGCCACGAATCACTAAAAGCTCTCGATTCAAAGCCAAAGCCAAGAAGAGCGCTGCCAAGGATGCAAGATGCGAGTTTACGAGCCGCTAGCCAGGGGCGTCCAAACTCTGACTCCATGAAACCCTTTCAGCCTCGCTCATAACCGAAGCGAGGTGGCGTCCAGCGGCCGAGAAGGGAGAAGCAATGGTGGTCTAATTTAGCTTTACACACGCGCACGCACGCAGGCACGCCTGATGTCCGCGAGCGCACTTTTCAATGTTCTTGGTTGATTAGTTGAAGAGTGAGGGGGTGTGGTTTGCAAAGAGGGCTGCTTCTCAGTTTCCTTTTTCTGATGGATCTAGCGGGAGAATGAGGACAAGATTTCTGGTCTACTCGCTTGAGTCAATCGATCCTTTGGCTTGGAGGGGATTTCATGTCGATTTCTCTTCCTTCTCCTTCCACAGAGATGTGCAAATAAGTATGTAACGGTACTCGGACGCCCTCGACACACCCACTCCACACCAAAGGATGGCCCTTGAGATTGGGCCGGCCACTTAAGCGATACCTTAGTTGCCGGGCCCATGCTAGATTTCCGACAGACACCCACTGGCGTCTTTGGACACAAGGTTTTTCGAGAGTTCCATGATTGGCAACCGTTGAGGAAGGGGGTGAAGACTCGCGTCTTTTCCCGGACTTGCTCTCCTGCATCTATTCCCCTTCTATCTCCTCTTGTACCAGAGTCGGCGGGGGAACGCAATCTATGCAGTAGTGTAATAGTGTAGCTTTCTCAAGCATAATGGTTGGATCTGCCCAGGCAAGTGTCCTCGGCCTGAACGGGGGTCCACAAACTCCAGGTCAGAGGATGCAACGTCGAGCGAGGGAGAAGGGGCTCAATCTTACTTGCAGCACAACAATATTGTCGCCCCGTGCGTACTCGCCAGCGACAAAAGTCAAATGTACATTGAAGCCTCTAAACCCTCAACTCCTCAACCGCAGCCGCAGCTCAGTACGAAGTCGACACACACACACACACCGCGTGCGGGTGGGGGTTAGTGGACGGCCTGGTCCCACATCCCACAAAGATTAATGCAGGCCTCCCCAAGTGTACATGCACCCAACTTGATGGGAAGCGAGGCTCCCCTCGTCGGAGAGACACCTGCAAGTACTGGCAAAGCTCGCGAATGTGGAAAGAGGCGGCGGCAGAGGCTCAGGCCAAGCGGAGGTGCCTTCAAGGGCCCATGTTCAGAAACTTGCTGTTGCATGGGGAAGATGAGGGGAGGGCAGGAGAGGAGCGGAGGGAAAGTACCTCAACACTATGCTGGCCTTGTCTGTGATCGGGAGGGGGTAGTTTGGTGCATGTGGAGATCAGAGAGACGAGTGATGGGATGATTTTACCCACCCTCAAGCCCAACCAACCAACACCAATGGCCAAGGGAGGAGAGGATGCTTGCATAGAACACTTTTCCGGGTAACATGAACCCGGAGTGATGAATGTACCTATTCCGGCTGGTCTTGCGCACCTTTGCTCTGACCCTCCTTGTCATTCAAGGCTCAAGCATAAGCCTGCGAATCGTGATGAGACTTTCTAGACCCTTCCCCTTCCATTCTCGAGGTCGCAGCTCGGTGCCATGCGTTTGAGAAGTCACCGAGCTGCGCGTTTCCGGGGTGCGAGAGGACGCACAAGTATGGATGGATGCAATCTTGGACTAGCCAGTCTCAGTGCTCTCCCTGGACAGACACGTCCCGCTGCCATTTGATCCCTCATCTTGGTTCCAGGGCCCTCTGGTATCGGAGGAAGGAACAAGGGGGCCCAAGGGGGACATAAGGGGAAAGAACGTGTGCGGGGAGGGGTCGACGCGAAGGAACAGACCCCTTTTCAGGGAGTCTGCTTGCGTTTCCGTCCAATTTCTCGGCCGGGAAAATAAAGAAAAGCAGATCAATTGACAAGGAAGTGCTCGGGATCGCCTGTCTGCTCATGCCCTTCTCCCCACTCCATGTCTCTGTCTCGCCAGAACCTGGCATCCACGCCACGACGCAACTCGACATGTCCGAGAAGGCTCAAAGACGAGGTACCCAGTGGCTCGTCAGACCGATGAGCTTGTTGAGCAAACTGGCTACGGCTACGGCTACGGCCACTCAGGAGAGGGAAAACAAAAACAAAGAAGAAGAGAAAAAACGACTTGAACTTTGAAGCACAGCTGACCAATCGATGGATCATCAATGTGTCTCACGGCACCCGCCCGCTTGCCAGGCTCTGCCCAAACACACAACAGATTGTTCCTAGGTTGAGCAGGAAGAGGCAAAAACACGCACCATGGAGACAGGGGTCCCAAGCATCAGGCACCCAAGGTGCTTGATCAGACGTACACCACATCAGATACTTTGTACGTTCTACTCTCCCTAGTGGGCTCCGGGGACATGTTAGCCCGTCGCCAGAAAGCGAAAGCCATTCGGGGAAGGAATGGGCCACCTGGATTTCCAACCCCCAGCCGCTCCCTGTCGAGGAAGATGGTGCCTTGCATGGATATGCCCACGATTCATCTCCAAAGTATTGCATCGAACACGTTGGTTTTTCAAGATTCTACCAATTAATTTCATGTTTGGATAGTGCAAGCCCGAGAGATTAGTCTCTGGCATATATTGTACCGTCCTGGGACAAGCTTGTCTCTCCCCATTAATGGACATTGATACCGAGGTGTCTAAACTATCACCATATCCAAGAGAACTAGGTTTTCTTCGGAAACATGAATAACTTGGCAAAGTACCGAGGAGACGGCAAAGGTGCGAGCAATCGTAAACCTTTTAAAACAAGAAAAATCGTAAACCCCAGTGGAATATGACCTAAACTCCAATGACACCGTCCAGTGTATATATCGTGAACCAATGTGTGAAACCACCCAGCCCTTAAGGTGCCCCCTTCCGGTAAGACGGAGAATAAGGGTTGAGAAAAAAATCCTCAGGACGAGAACAAACCAAAACCAGAGGTTTCTTTCCGCCATCTTGAAGGCCAAGAAACCCAACCAAAAGTGCAAAAAAATAAAATGAAAAAAGAGGGGGGACAACAAGCACTATAATGCGAAGCGAGTAAGGCGCGCGGGCCAAATCAAACGAAACCTCCGCCCACCCACGCTTTCTCGAAACGCTCGCGCTAATACAGAAGAACAGCCGCCACGAATCTATGCCCAGGTACTCCGTTGCCATGAGATAAATAGCAGATAAGGGAAAAGAAGTAACAAGATGGGGGAACTGGTCTAGTCCCTTAGAGCTGGATCGTGGAGTTGGCGCACATCATCGGCTAGCGAAGACGCTGATGGCGACCTAGACAACGGTTGGCCAGCGTCATCCGAAGCGCCCCTCTTCTTACACTTGCCCTGGAGCAAGTGTCCGTTTCGAGCAGTTGTCCTCGTAAACTCGGCGCCACAGTTAGGACACGTCGCTTTCGATGCTTGACCCGACTTTTCTCGCTGGTGCCGAAGGAGGTTGCTAAAAGTAGAAAACTGTCGTCCGTTGCATCCGTGCTCCCAACATTGCGGCTTTGGCCGCGTTTGAACAACCCTAACCTGGCCCGACTCATGGCCGCTCAGAGGAACACCGTTTCCGGGCATTCCGGCGCCCATGGGATACATGAGGTTCGGGTCACTCCCTGTGGAATAAGACGCGGATCGAGGGGGCTAAACAAAATTCCTACGTTAGCTCCGGTTTCGATCAATAAAATAGGGAGCGCTGAATAATTCATACCCGTAAGCAGAGTCCGATGCTTGCAACGTTGTCGGGTACCCCATCGGCATATTATATGCAGGTTGCCTTTGGAAAAATCGAGCGTTAGCACGCGCGCGAGTTCGTTTGGAATCTAGCGTTTGGCTGTGGAGTTTCAAGCTTACATTGACTGTTGTGGCAAAGAAGAGGCGTACATTGGTACGTTGGACATGGATCCCGCGTCCTGCTCTGCCAGCGGTTGCGCATAGGGGGACAGGTAGCTCTGGGTCGGAACAGAGTTCGCGGGCTCTGCGAGAAGCGAAATGGGGGCCATGGAGGATGTGTAGATGGGCACGTTCATCGCCGAAGACGCGTCTGGAAGGTAGGTGTTGCTGTTGGATCTTCGGAATCGAGAGGCAGACTTGTTGTCTCTTCGCACCTGGTCCATCTGCCTTTTGAGCTCTCGCTGCTCGGGGGTGAGGACGTGATGTCCCTGCGGGCTGCCAGTTCGGGACCTCGATCGCGCCGCGCCGCCGTATTCAGCTTCGGACCCGGGCGCGCCGCTCATAGAAGAAAGATCGTGACCGAGAAAGTTTGTAGCGTTGTGGTTCGGGCTCGTCATGACACCCGGCCAGGGGTAGGTGTTCTGCTTGCCCATTGTGAAGCTTGGGTCAAGGGGAACGAGGCAGTTCTGCTACAAGTTAGTAAATTGGCTTGCCAAGCTGCGGCGATCGGTTTTGGGCACCAAGGGAGAATGAGAAACAAAAAATAAAGGGGGAGGGTTGGATCCTACCGCACCGGCCCCGTAGAAACGGCGGGGTTCACTATCCTAGGATCCTGCTCACTCCACTCTCCGCTCAAAATTTCGGGCGAAAGTCCAGTAAAAGGCGAGTAGTTGCGCGGGAGAGTTGTGGAAAGGTAGTTGGAAGGGATAGGGCTGAGGTATGGCGCGGAAGAGGTCGAGGAAGATGCCGAAGAGGCTGATTGGGAAGTCAACGAAGGGCTCGATAGGGGTTGGCTCGCAGGCGAATCTGAGTACTTGTGAACGTAGCTCTCGCTGCAGTTGCTCGCAACAGTTCCGGCTCTGGATCTAGTCTGGTGTGAGCCAGAGTTGTCGCAGCCGTGATCGAAAAATCCAGAGTCCAGAATAGAAGATACAGAAGATGGCATATCGACAGATGTGAGTTGGTCACGTACGCTGAAGGGGGTTACCCTATCCGCGATATAGTCCACCGATGACTGTTGACGAAGCTGCAAAGAGCTTCTCCGAGTTATTGCGCGGCGGTGGACGGGATAGAGCAAGATGCGCGCATGAAGAGTAATGAAAGGACGCGGGCGGGCACGAATGCAGCAACAGAGTTCTTGAGGTGCTTTCGCTTTCAAGATTTCGAGACGATAGAAGAAGGCACGGTCGAGTATATATCCCACAGGCGGTGGGGAAAGGGTCAAGGTAAGAAAAAAGTGCCAAAAATGAAAGGGGATAGTGTGGGGGCTTTGACGATGACGATAAGCGTGGGCGATGGGTCTAGACTTATAGAAGCTGGCTTGAGGGGAAGAATAGAAGCGATGTTTATTACGGAGAAGTGAAGAAGGGGTCGTATACTTGTATGTGGTCTCCGGGGGAGGGGTGTGTCTGTCTGGGCTACACGGCGTGTGGTGTACGTGAGCAAGGCCCTAGTTTGTGTAAGTGGGCACGACTGCGGACTGGCCAGAGGGGCTTTGGACGAGCCCTGTGAACAAGCGCTCTTTCTTTTTTTTTTTTTTTCTTCTTTTTTTTTCTTTCTTTCCTGACAACTGCAGGAATCATCGGCATCGAGATCCCAGCCTCAAAGGGGGCCAGTGGAGTCCTAGGCCTTCACAGAGTTGCCATCAATCTTAGACACTGATGGATGGGATGGATGAGGGGCGGTACGGCTTGGGGCAGAGGTACCGAGAATCCTTCTAAGGCGTGGACCTTGGACCGCATGACAGAAATGGCAGGCACCGATGAGAGGAGAGGGCCAGCAGCATAATGTACAGCAGGGTATACTTTGGCGCGACTAGGGTCCCGATTTTGTTCAAAGGTTGGCCAAGTTCACGTCGCGGGTATGGGCATCCATGTAAGGATGGCAGGACACGGCCACAGCGAGGTCGCGGTGCGGTGTCCTGAGATGCAAGCGCAACGACTTGTACTTGGTGAGAGAGACAGAAGGGGGAGAGGGAGAGGGAGAGAAGGGCAAGACTGAGTGACGAGGAGGGGAACCCCAGTAACAAAAGCTGGCTTCGCCTGCCAAGCTTGAAATGGTTGCTTGTTGGTACCCTGATGTACTTCGGGTACAACACCCAACGAAGCATCATCATGGGGCACAACACCACGGGTGGCTCTCCCTGTACCTCCCTTTGGAACACTATTTCTCGACTGTTCTCGGAGGACGGGGACGGCGGACGGGACTCGAGGGGAAGGGAAGCGTGTCTGGACACGAGGAGAAGTCAAATTGACAAGGTTACAGGGGAAGGGGGCGTGTAGTGGAGAAAGCTAGGCATGGTGTGGAAGAAAAGTCCCCGTAAACGACGGAAGGGGTGAGAGGCGCGGCAGGAGGAAGCAAAGGGGGTGTGGGCGGGAGGAGCACTTCACTTGAAAAGGTTTCCCGCTTAACCAGTCGAACAAAGGGGAGTGTGACAGAAATTTGATGGCTGAGGGACCCCATCTAAGACCCGAACCCCCTTTCTTAAAACCACACCCACCCACCCACGCTCCCAAATGTCCCTCTCTCCCCGGCGTACTTGCTCGTGGTACCAACACACAGCGCTTTGCGAGAAAATCTTCACCTCTCCAAACAACCTTGGTGCTTGGATAAGCGTACGGGGTAATGATGTACTTTCCGACTCTGATCTCATGTCCTCACAGATCGCCTCCTCACTAAAAGAAGCCACGGACGCGGTTCAGCAGATATCAATGACGGAAAGGGCTTAAAAACGTCGGCAACAAACCTTTATTCGTCGCCGACGTGACGGGTGGTGGATTAGAAGCCTATACCCGGGCCCGGCTTCATTAAAAGATGACAAAATAATAACGTCCAATAACAGCAACTCTTCCAGTGTTGGGTCTTTTGTCACGCCAGCGGGACTTCTCCCAGCAATGAGATGGGGCCTGAAGAAGCCAGAAAAGTGACATGCCCAATCGCCAGGCCCGGATGAGGTTCCCTGTGGCTTCCTCTCCTTGCGAATCCTTGCCTGTCTCGCCCCGCTCTCGCGCCAGAGCCTTCCTGTCCGGCTACTCATCCGCAACCTGGTAAGCGAGGAAGCAAAAATATCCCTATCGGCCGCTAGGCCGTTGACGGCCTCTCGGCCACTGCAACTACAAACAGGCAGTGTCACGACATGAGTCGCGTCTCCATTATCTCGTCACCGCGGCTTTTCGGGGTGAAGGCGACACAACCTTATCCTCTGCGATCAGGCGGTTGGTGAGCTAGAAGGAACATTGATGTTTACGTGGCCGAGAGGGATAGGGACTGTAAGATGGTGGTGGCAAGAACGCACCATGGTTTCACCTAGCATGAGCAGCGACGCCCGTCCAGAAGCCGTAATATCGAGAAGGTCTAGAATCAAGGAAGAAGAGACGAGATGCTTGTGCAAGCTGTTGGTGGCAGTCAGTGATTCATCCATGCGGAGCACTCCCTCCTTGCCTGCCCCATCAAATCAAATCAGGTTGACCACTTTTTTCCTTTTCCTACCTCTTCATCACACGCGAGCTTGGACGTTGGGTGGTCCTGTGAATTTCTAAGCTCGCTTTCTCCGTGAGCCTCATTTGCATCCGACTATCACCAGGGAGTTTGGGCAGATGCTAAAGCATTAACGACAAATCTCGGACACATTCATTGTCTCGCTGAACACATCGGGCAGGTGTGAGTTGCGAGAAACAGGGGACTCCCCTCCTCGCTTCTTCCTTGACTGGCATGTCGACACTGAGGATGGAACGTGCTTCTAATCAAGGGCACACCGGGGGCCTAGTTTTGTTCGAGACAACTGGGCATCATGCTGGGGAGCAGTCGACGCAGCGTGTTTCTTCACGCTTGTATTAGTGAGAACCGGTGGTCGGGTCCGGCTTTCCACGCAAATTTCTCCCCCAATTTGGACCCCACCAAGGTCAAGGGTAGCATTGGACACCGATCAGTGTGCTGGGAAAACGTATTGACGATCGTGAGGCGCGGCTTGAGTCGCCTTACCCCCGAGCTACGCCCTGTGCGGTTCCCACTTTTGATTTTCGACGGTGTTGCTTTAGTGGACGAGAATACTGGAGGCTAGCCTCGCACGCCTAGCACGCCTAGCACGCCTACGGCATAGCACCTCCTTCATCCATGTTGTACTTCAAGTCGCAAGAGCAAGACTCGAGCCTGACGAGTACTTCGGATGGGGAAGCTCAAAGTAGCGAAGTACTGACTCGCTCGCGGACCACACCATACCTTGTATCCGTGGGGCCCGCCTTTTACACCCCTGTTCCCTGCCGCTCCCCTCCAACTTCTCTTTTGGACTGAGAGTATGTGAGGGAAGCGTGCTCATAAGGCTTGGGCCCCAAGACGGTCAATGCCTTTTTCGGAGGGATAAATGTGGCCATGGATGTGCGGCAACTGGATTACGCAGGAGCTGCAAAGCAAGCGCTCAAGAACCACGATTCCTCCTCTCCCCTCTTTCTCCAACCTTGTCCATCCCACCGGAGCTCTGCAATCGGACGAGGATGCGGTAATGAGCCTAGTCCTTCAGTGCATTGAAGTCTTGAAGAATATTCCCCCCACACATCACTGACTTCCCGGTGCTCCCTGTAACCCTTTAGAATTGTTCCCGCCTTCTTCGACCCGTGAGGCCTTTTGGAATTTTGCTTTTATCTCATTTTATTTCTTTACATTCTATCAAACCTGGGCTCCATTCTATGCAGCCCTGGGTCTCAATTCTTTCCATGCTTTCCTTTCTGTCTACCCATGTCTTCTTTGTGCTCTTTAATCTTTTTAGCCTTAACCCAGCCCCTCTTGGAAATCCGGCCGCGGCTGTGAAGACCCTCTCGAAAAAGGCGCGCGGGTCGTGGTCCAAAAAGGCGGTCGCATTAAGGGCAGTGTGGACTAGTACTTTGGTACAACACGTTCGTTTGGGATGCTGCGCCAGTTCCAACCCAGCAGTCCGTACCATGGTGGGTCGGGCATATGGCCCCCATCCACCAATCCTTGTCGGAGCTGCTGTGGAAAGAGCAAGAGTATAGATGTTCTTTTGAGTGGACCAGATAGGTGACGAGGCCACCGTGATTATCAGCTTTGCCTGTCCGTGCAAGTAGTGCTGCCAGTGCTGATTGATCGCATCGCCTGATTCCTTGAACATCGATGGGAAGAGATGCCTTCCCTGCATCTTGGCCATATCTCGTCACTCCCGATCCACCCAAATCAAGCCAGAGCCTAGTAGCATTTCGGGGTCTGCTTGCGAGCACGGCAAAGAGCTTTCCCTGGCCCGTGAGTTGATCCATCGATGGATCTCTCCTTGAGATTTGGTATTCTAAAAGTGCAATCCTCGAGAGACCCATCGACTAGGTCACGCTGTTCTTCATCGTTTCATTATTATTTTTTTCTTCTTCTAGAATACATAGACGATGATTGGAAGGGCTGTAAAGCATTGATATCGAAGCTTGTGGAATAT